CACCAAGCCCCAGAATGACAGAATACTTGCTCATATGGTCTTTAGACACTTCGTAGGCGTTTGGACATAAGAATTGTAAAAAAATTTTAAAAAAGAAGTGAAAACGGTGTTTGAAAATTAGAGTTGTATTTGGACATGAATAAAATTTTGGGTTGTTTCTGAAGTTTTGTGAGTGATCTGAGTGAAAATTTTGAAAAACAATTTTTTGGAGTTTTTCAAATTTTTGAAAAATTTCAAAATTCATCTTCAAGTAAAACTTGAAAATTTTATGACCTAACACCGATTTCGAAAAAATTTAAAAAAATTTCGAGAAAAAGTGAATTTTTTTTATGTCCAAACGGGCTCTTAGGAAGCTTGTCATCCCCCACCCCACAAACAACATAAGGCTACTAATAAGGAGGTAAATGTAGACCTACAGTTGCAGGATGATTAAATGTAAGGCAGTGGTACAAATAGGTGGTAAAAAAAGGTTATATTTTTATATATAGCGCCACAATATCTGGCGCTATACTTTAACGGTTTCGTTACTGTTAATGTATAGCGTCAGGTATTGTGGCGCTATATATAAAAATGTAACTTTTTTTTTTACTATATATTTGTATAATTTGAGTAAAAAAAACCATATTTTGGTTCCAATCTCTACAAATTAAAGAGTATTCAGAAAACGACTGATAATTAAAGCATTTATTCAAAAGGAAAAGAAAAGAATAAAGGGGGACAAGAATTACAATGTCGCTGTTAGGAATAGTTGTCTTCTCGGTTTTCCTCACATGGAAGAACAATTTTTTCCGGACCCTATGGGAATAGGCTACTGTTATAGCTTAGACCAGGACAATATGGCGTGTACAATATATATTTAATGAAGATGCCAGAATATTCACAAGTTAGCAATTAATATCCACATATTAGTATAGCTGATAAATATAGATAAGAACTATATTATTCATTTAATTATAAAATGAATAATTAATGGATAATAAATGGATTTAATTTTTATATTTGTAAAATCTCAAATTGGGAGTTTCTTTTGGGAGATTAGTAATTCTTCCAAAAGTAATCATATTCAAGAAGTCATGGATAATATGGTTACCAATATTATCCGCCGGTTAATCTGTTTTTTATCCTATTAAATATGGGTCGAGTCAGATAAATTATCCGTTTTTTTATTATCCGCTTTTTACCTGTCTCGTATCCGATCTGACCCACCCGTTTGCCACCCCAGCATGTCCATGGGCGGAGCTAGGGTCAAATCTTTTAGTGGAAAAAATTATATTATGTATATAAGAGGTTAATTCTTTTTAATGTATATAGTGGATGCAGTAAGTTTTATATGCCGAAAAAATTGCCGCAGCCACGCTTGATTAGTTAATTAGTTACTCGTTAACTAGCTATGGGCCACTGCAGTACTCCTTGGAAGATAACTAGGACGTCCTCTCCGGTCCCTAGTTAATTAAAGCAAAACCAATCACAAAAATCCGGTAAAAACATATCCGCATCGGGTGTTTACACCAAATCAATAGATATATGACATGTGTCTTCCATATGGACTTCAATCATTTAATCATGGTAAATTACATGCATTCTCATCTAATTAAATTAATTAACCATAGTGAGTTAATATAGTTTAATGTAAACACTCGGTGTGAGTAAGTATTTACCCAAAAATCCCCACCCTCTTTCTTCTTCCAAATTACTCTATTTTTTAGGTTAGCATGGGATTTGCCACAAAGAATTAGGAGTAGGCCAACTTAACCTAATAGCTTAAGACAGTGGAGGACTTGAGCACCCATTAATACTTTTTATCAGATTTAGTAAATTGCATATGCAATTATAAATATATTTAGAATATTGAGCTAGGACTTACAACTTATAAACTCCTTTCTTCCTTTTCTTTTGAATTTTGTATCGATGAGCACCCATGACTTTAAAATACTGCGTCCGCCACTGATATAAGAAATCTATACGTCAACACTCGATCTCTCTATAAAATGTCCAAAGGATATTACATTTGCCATATAAAACTGTGGAACAACACCCAAGTCACCACCATATATATATAGTTTAGTTTTTGTACAAATACAAATGCACTTAATTGCCCATTCAAAAGGGAGCAATTAGCAATATTGATTAACAAGTAATAGCTATAGAAATAACACAAAATAAATACGTACTAATCGTAATATTGGATGACATAATTGATCACATGCTACTATCATCATCTCCCTCAGGGTTATGATTACCTGAAATGGTAGTATTGTTCCATGTATTAGGAGAATAATTTGGAATACAAAACCCATAATTTTGATCAAATCCAGTAGTTGTTCCATCAACAGGACCCGTTATTCTCCCATAATTCAAATTACTCCTCTGTTGATGATTCATGATTCCTCCAGACGGATTAATATATCGCATTAAATCAGCATTCGTAGCATCAAGTTCTTTCTGAAGGCGAATAACTTGTCTTTGTAAAACTGAAATTGCTCCAACACAACCATAAACTGGATCTTTCATACGTGCTTCGGCTTCATAAGCAAGAGAATTTACTGCATCTTCTCTCTGGTGAGGTTGGATTTCATTTAGGAGTTTACTTACGTTGCTCGCACCAAATATTTTGTGTACATTGGCGAATTTTGTTGGCTCTTCTGGAGGAAAATAGGGAGCGAATATGCAATTACCTGGCAAACATTTTCTTCTCAAGAATTTGCAAGCAGCACATGGAGGGTTGGAGTAGCTGCTGGAAGAAGCCATAATTTCCTGATAATGAACCAAATTAATTAGTGTAATTAACTTTATGCAAACAATAGCATCTTAATATTGTTAAGAGTTTTTTTGGTGTGCGAACAAAGTTTCACACTGATAGCTGAAAACATTGGAAGACTATATATAAGGTATAAGGATCTCTTAATGGTGTGAGACCGCCATTGGAAAAAACTGTGCAAACTTGGTCCAAACCGGACAATATAACACCATGTTAAAAGCGATATAGTAGTATCTTTGGGCTGATTGATCAGCTCAACAAGGTTAACATCTATATACCAACAGTTTAAAAGTTCTTTACACTATATCGTTATTTAAAATGTACTGCTCGAGACTATATATCCATGATAAATGGAATTAGTATCTCAAAAAGTAAGATAAGTAACCTTCTATATTTTGCAGATTAAAAGTTACATTGATAGTGCAAAATTTTCAGTTGTGTATTGTTTTACAGCTAGACAAATTTAATGAAATGACCTCTTTTTTCCCTACAACATCTTGATTTTAATACGCTAAGATTGTTGTTAGAAATCATTAAAGGATTCGTGTATCGAAAATCCAGTTTAAACCCCCTTGATGAATTAAGTAGAACTAAATAATCAACATTAACGATTGTAGGATCAGCTGGGATTGCAGCATAAGCATATAACATAAAAGTGTAGCAAAATTATATGTCAATTGTCATTATGTCAATCAACAAATTGTTGGTCTAAAGAAATTAAATACGAACAAAGCAGTTCTCTAGTGATTTTCCTAGCACCCAACTTCGTGTATATATGTTTGAGACGGACCCGTTCTACCTGTTATCTGCAGGTTATCTAGTTTGTAACCTTGAATTAATCCAAAAAAATAAATAATTAACAAAATCACATCACCTAAAGTTTATGTGTGTCTGTATGTCTGTGTACAAGGCATATTTTATGGAATATATAGCCTTACAAGGGTCTATTGTACGTACAATAGATTATTGTGTTTCGGTCCTTCTCCGGACTCCGCACATAGCAGGAACTTAGTGTACCGGACTGTTTATCCTTTTTTTTAAGGTCATTCCGGAAGCCTAAACATAGAGTAAATTTTTTATTGTTTTAGAGTTTTTTTGCTACTATGGTGTCATGCTTAGTAAACTTGATAGCTCAGTCACTAAATTTCAACATTATCAAACTATTGGCAAGAATAATCAGTGCCCGTGAGTTAACCTGCTCTACCAAATTAAACAGTGGGATATTTAAACTTACTGTTCTGTGTAAGTGATTACTACTACTATGATTCATGGTAAAAGCCTTAAAATGATATCCGACATTCCACCTGCAAAGTTCCGCGAAACAAGACTTTTACATCAAATTAACCAACGTGAAATGAAAACCTAGCTAAAAGTCGCACTAGTCTATGTTCATATATCATTGTCCTTCAAAATATATATGTCAAATATAAAGTCAACTTCTACGACAATCTTGTTTGTTCCGAATATTTTTAGATGTTATAATAAAGTGATGTTATAGAGAACATATATATATTATAACATAACATGAAAATTGGTTCCGAAAAAACTTGACTTTTATAGTGAAGTGTTGTTAAATAGAGATGTTTTTTTTGAGATTTCACTTTATACACGTCCTTGAAAACATATCAAGAAACTGTTACTGCTAATAGATCTACACGTTGCAGGGAATTTATAGGGCTGACATCCCTATAAATTGAAGGGAAAAAAAGAGAAAACATAAAAGGGTTTCTTTTCATTTATAAAAGAAAGTAGAAAGCTCTAGTGAAGAAGATACCTTAAAATTTCCTTTTGGTAGTGCAAAGTCTTTCAAGCTATGTACCTTGATTCTTGTAACATCAAAAGCATGGTAGCCCTATAGGTGCTTTAATAGAAGTAAAAATGAATTAAAAAAATTTTGTAGTTGGATTTTGAGAGAGAAACCCTAGAAGCAGGAGACAGAAAGTAAGTAAAAGAAAAGAAGAGAGAAGACAATAAGTATTTAGTGAAATGGAGATATATTGGAAGGGGAAAGCAAAAGGCACTAAAGGACTAAGCACAATAAATAAGGGCTGATCAGATCAATAATTTAAACAATCGATGGTGACTGTGTGAAGTTTACACCAAACTTTCATAATTATGTCCAGCCAAATTGTTGCTTGATGGTTTTGTCCTCCTAAATGTATCGTACTTGACTCACGTTATGTATTTACTATATACAAATCAAGTACAATAAAATCAGGGGCGACTCAAGAACATTGGAGGCCTAAAGCTAAACTTTTTTAAGAGGCCTTAAACTTAAAAGAAAAAAAAAATTCATATAGAGTTAGCTTGATTCATACTTTATAGTTGATATATGTGAATTTTGATAAATAAAAAAATACATTACTATGACATAAAAATATAAAAATACTAAGTTTAAATTTAAAGAAAAAATAATAGATAGTTAGAACAGTAGAAACTGATTGTTGAAGTCAACAACTTGATATCAAAATAAAATTCCAGTGTTAGTTGCAATAACTTGTTGCAATGCTTGAGATAATGAAAAAATAATAATTTAATTTATTCAATATCTCTCATGGTTAAAAACTCATCGGCACGGAAGTGTACACCTAACTAAACAATTAACCTTGAGTATGAACATATGTCTTACATTTATTGACGTGGTATAAACATCCGGGATAAACAGATTTTTGCTTTCTTTGATCTCTTATTTTAAGAGAAATAAATATCTTAGTAAGAGGAAAAAAAGAGAATACAAAATACAAGTTTATTATGAGAAAAAAAAGAATATTAATATTAGAATGTAAATTGACTATTAGTCACCATAATCAAATTGGCTAAATATTTTTTTTTCCAGAAAAATCTTATACTCTTCTTCCATAAATATTCAATATATTTTGAAAAAAAAAAATTACCATATAATTAACCTATTATCAATCTAAGAAATGGGCCCTAAAAATTTAGGGGCCTAAAGCCATTGATTCATTAGCTTAATTTACCCTTTAGCCGGCGCTCAATAAAACGAACTATTACAATGTCGTATTACACATTGGCGTACGAGAAAAAAGGTATGCTTACGAATAGCGTAAAGAAATTGTATAATACTCCCTTATTCCAATATATGTGAATATGTTTGACTAGACATGTAGTTTAAGAAAAAAATAAAAAAATTTAAATTTGTGGTCCTAAACAAGTCAAAATGGATCCATAATATTTGTGTGGTTATAAAAGTTTCTCATTAAGGGTAGAATTGAAAGTTTAAGCTAAATTGTTTCCAAATTTAGAAAGAATACATTCTTTTTTTAACGGACCAAAAGGAAAATAGGTTTCCATAAACTGGAATGGAGGGAATATTAGTTGTAATTCGTATTTGTTTCAGATGACATTAATCAATGTTTACTTTGGACAGTTAAATCTATTAATGTAATATTATTTTTTTTAACATTATTAGTGTATAATTTTATAAATTTTGAATATAAATTTTCTGACTTATGATATAAAAAATTATTTACGCAAGCAATCATCTACCGTAAGTATTAGCGGATAACCTAAATAAATTGGTAACTAACTACTAATATAACAAAAAAAAAAATCTAGAATAAGTCATCATTATGTATAACTTGAATTCTTTATATATATAAACCGAAAAGTAAAACAACATGTCAGAAACGCTGACCTCTTCTTATAGGTCACATTTTAAAGTTAATCGTAGTCAATTATTTCATGCTGTTTTTGTGCATATTGTTCTTCTTCTTTTTTTCTCTTTTTTATTTGTTTGAGCTTAATTTGTTTCATTCTATTTATTTTTTTCTCTTTTTATTATAAGACGTCGATGCTCATATTTGGACACTGTGCACCTCTGTTTGACGGTTGCTTATTCTTTCGCCACTCAATTATTTTCTTGGCAAGTCCTTTAATTTCATGTTATTTTGCATGTGAAACCCCTAGTAACTTTTCCTTTAGATTGTTACTTAATTAACCATCTTCCTCATGTTTAAATGTACTAATTACTGCATGGCTTATTCGATAATGGCATTCAGCAAAAGTTCAATTCTCAGTAATTTCACATTATAAATATTCTTTTAGTTATATGACCATTTACATAGTAGATTTATAAAACACAGAAAATTGATAAATAATACTATCTTACAAGAAATTCGTAAAGGATCATTTTTTTCATTCAAATCGTAACTTGTTAGAAGATTACATTCGGTATGCATGTCATCACTATTCTATTAGCTACACACATTTAGGTTTTGACAATTGAAAAAGAAAAAGAAGATAAAAAAATACTCTACATGTCAATAATAAGTATGAAAAAATTTCAACACCTTGTCTTTTCTTAAAAAATAGAAAAAATTGGCTGCACGTTCTAGGGTGTATTCATACTTTATATACAATTACAATATATAGTGCTTACAATGTTCTTTACTTTTGCAAAACCAAAAAAAATAAAATAATACACTATCTGTTTCAATTTAGATGACATATTTCGTTCATTGAAAGTCAATTTGACTAAACTTTGAAGCTAAAATGAATTACTTTAACATAGTATTTTAAGATTAAAATTTAAATATTTAAAAATTACACGAAATGTATTATAAGTTGCAATTTTTCTCATATCAATATGATAAAAATATATATTTTAAAATGTTGGTCAAACTTCATAAAGTTTTACTCTCGATAAATAAAATATGTCATCTAAATTGAAACGGAGAGTAATATATATACAACAACAACAACAACAACAACAACAACCCAGTGTAATCCCACAAGTGGGGTCTGGGGAGGGTAATATGTACGCAGACCTTAGCTCTACCCCGAGGGGCAGAGATGCTGTTTCCAGGAGACCCTCGGCTCAAAAAGGCAAATATTCCAATTGCCAAAGTTTCATATAAAAGCACACACCTACCAAATGTACATCCTACATAGATATTCCTCAATTATAATTGATGAACTCAACTCACTGCCTGTTAACTCTGAAGAAAAAAAGGAAATAATTTGAAATCTCTGAAAACATCACTGTTTGCCAGTATCATTGCAACAGTAACTAAATCTATATGTGCATGTAAACAATAATGCAATACTGATAGAAAATCTTTTTGAGAGGACGCATAATTTAATTCGCAGTACTGTGTTTCTCACACTTCTCGGCTTCGTCAATATTCGTTTTGATCTTAATTAGACAAGTAATTATAGGTAAGCATGGACGAAGCCACATGGTCATAACGGTGGTCAGTGGTCATTTGACTATCCTTCGTCGAAAAATTACACTATATATATAAGTACAATATTATGTTTTAGAGGTATATAACATATTAAACACCGTTTATGGGAATTTTTTTTTTCATTTTTTTAAAATTTGAACACTCTTGGAAAAATTCTTAGCTTCGCCACTATAGGCATGGGCGAAGCCACATGGTTATAAGGGTGGTCACTTGACCATATTACACTGTATATATGTACAATATTATGTTTTATAAGTATATAATACATATTGAACACCATTCGTCGGAATTTTTTTTTTTTTTAAATTTGAATACACTGGAAAAAATTCTTAGTTTCGCCACTTTAGGTACGTATAGTAATATTGTGTTGTGATCTAGGACAAATAAATATATATAAAGGTAGAGAATAGTTTTAGTTGTTAGTCAATGTGGAATCACACAAAGTAAAATTTAATCACTGAAATTTATACATGTAAGAGATAATCTACTGACGAACATAAAGACGGGAAAAAATATGGGTGTTGTCGCGCGCTAGAAAGTAATTATATTAAGTAACCGAAAAAATGAATAAAATTTGTATAATTTTTGAATATATATATATATATATTATATTTTTAGGTTATTATTTTGATAGAAGTTATATAGTGTCATTTTACGCGAAAAAAAGGTATTATAATTGGTCTAGTACTGATTGGTAGGGCTTAAATTCTTGGTCTCTGACTCTAATTAAGTTAACATGGGTACTTGGGACTACACTAACGGGATAAATATTTGCTTGCGTCCGGCTGTGTTTATATAAATCAAGTAATTTAACTTTAGTTTTAAGAAATTAAATATATATATATATACTTCTAATTCTCCGGATAGGATCAATTGAAATCCTTAAAATGTTTCTGTTAGAATAACATATTTCTTTGGAAAACCGATAAATACTTTTGCTATGAAAAAAGATTGTGATAAAAAATGCTTAATTTTTCTCGCTATTAACAACAGTTAAATAATAAATATGTACCATATCGGCAACGTACTAATGGAGTTTTTTTTTTTTTTTTTTGGAGGGGTGTATATCAAATGATTGTGGAAATCAGGCGTCATTTGTCATGATTATAAACAGCCAATTAGACTAAGATATGACTGTTAATTTTTAGGTGCATGAATAGAGTCCGGAACCCAATTGTGGTTCTTTTGGACTCAAAATACATAAATAGGTGATAAAAAAAGGTGACAATTTTATATATAGTGTCACAATACCTGGCGCTATACATTAACGTTAACTGTGTCGTTAATGTATAGCGCCAAGTATTGTGGCACTATACTG